GGAGGTATCATAATTGAACTGATGGAACTCCAAAATAGAGTTGAGGTTATAGCCTCAGAGTTTCTATTCATGATGCCAAAATGGGGGAAGAGACACAACAAAGAGCACAACGACCAACACCTAAATCAAGACTTCAACTAGGACCATAACAGACATAATGAGGACCTTCATCACCTCAACCGGCCTAAGCCCAAGCTCATGACAAGGGGACGGAAAACAACTGAAACAAGGAGAACGAATCAAGAGACACAATTGGCTACATAAGCATTTGTTATTTCCCATAGATACCTATCAAAACAATTGCTCAAAAAATTAAAGCTCCTTCCATAAATCTTGAACATCATATATTTCACATATTAAGTTTTTCTCTAGTTTTTCATATTCTATTTCCTATCTTTTAACTCATCATGTTTTCCATTTCTTCCCATTTCCCCCCTCTTTCATACCTTTTCTCCCATTTTCATACTTTTCCTATTCTAATTAGTGGGTGTGTTAGGGTATTGGTGTTTAACCCAAAATGCCATTTTTATACGTAAAATGCTGCTTACTGCAGCGGTTGGGAGTGGAAACCGCTTAAAACCAAATGACCCCATTATCTCGTACTGGTTTTCTCAGTTTCCATGGAAGACATATAGTGTGAAGTAAAAACATGATTATATACTTGAACCATATAATCAAATATACTACTCCATTCTTAAATAAATGCAACATGTGAAATTGGAATAAAATATTCCGCACACGGAATTATGTAATAATAAGAAAAAGTAAGGTTGAAACTACTTTTCTGGCAATATTAGCTAAAGTTACTGTAGAGAACCATTTAAGCTATTTTTTCATATAATTTTTTGTTTATTTTAATAACAAAATATATTTCAAATATAACTTTTTCATAAATCAGCAAAATTGGTCAATCCAGTCACTTCAACCAGAAGTTCATAAATTTCAGCAGAATTGGCCGATTGGCTCTCTACGTCTTATCACAAATTCGCAAGACATGAAGCATTTGATTTTTGATGCAATGAATTTGTGTTCCTAACAGGGCTACAGATACATTGAATTGACACACACTTTTTCCTTGCCCAAAATAAATAAATACTTTGAAGGTACATTGTATATTAAAATGTTCATCACCAGAAATATTTATTAAAAATATTAACATAAAAATCATTTCAGGTTTAATTATATACTATTTATATAAAACACGTTTAGTTACAAAAATTATCAAAATAAAAAATTAAGCTGCCGTTGACAACTTAGATGCTAATGATCAAATTAGATGAGCACCCTTACCATTTTAAAGATTCAAAATTATACCAAGTGCATCGGATTCTTTAATTGAATTAAAGGTTGTTTATCAACTAACTATATACGAATCATTTTAAATCGTTACTCATTAAACATATGAATAAGATACTATATAGGTCGTAATATATTAGGTGAAGTCACATACCATATCATTATAAATATGCATAAGACGATAGAGACCAAGAGTATTCAGATACAACACTTTATCATTTTTATTTTAGTACACTTACATATTATCAATGGCTAAAGGTTCAACCATTAATCTTGCTTGCTTTCTTTTATTCGTTCTCATAGCAACAGGTAATAACTATTTGCTATGATATTTTGTTTCATTAGGGTTTATTGGTTGATTTATATTTAGCTAGTATTTCTATTTTGATGATCCGAATAAAATAAGTGCAACTTAACTATTAGCTAGATTGATATTCTGTCAAAAAAGCTAGATTGATATTGGTGTAGTAGAGAGTTGACCAATCTTTGACTTTTTAATTAAGCTATGCTTGGTTAAAAGGCTTGGCTGGATCAAACTTTTTCCAAATTGTTGGATGCATTATAATCTTATGAGCTTAGACAATCTTTAATTTGTTTGTGTATGTGTTTTTTTTAACTTATTTACTTGCTCCAACTTAACAAAAAACTAACAAGGAGCGTTGTTTCAGAATTTTCTGGTAGGGGTTGTGCCAGGGAAGAACTAAAAAGAAGTGTCACAACAGCACCAACAGGCTTTCAAATCAATGGCAATGGTGATTACCCTTGCAATGATGTTAGCGATTGTGATGATTATTGTGGTTCTGATGGTTGTGCTATGTGTGTAAACGGCGAATGCAAATGTAATTGTCCTAATTGAGTAAATTATGAATCAAGCATTGTAATAATAATAATAATAATAATAATAATATATTATTGAGGGTTAGGACCGACAATCCCAAATCAAGCTTTATCTTTTTCTACATTCACCCTTTTTAGCATAATGCATAAATATTTAATAATTTGACATCGGATCCTTTTAATTTTGATATGTTTCTGTTGTACACGCCTATTTATATTAAATGATGTTGATCGAGAATTTTATACATTAATTTATATACGTGTTCCTTAAATTAAAGGTGTGTGTATGTGTGTAAACAAATGTGATCAAATACTTCCAAATAATATCATAAATTATTAAATATAATCAAAATAATAAAGAAAATCATTTTGTTATAAATAGTATGATAATATAGCTTGAATATTAATATCATACTCCCTCCGTCCCGCTAAGATTGTCCCATTTTACCTTTTCGGGAAGTCCCACTAAGATTGTCCCATACCATATTTGGTAAAGATTGTGTGGCTCTAAATCATTCCAACTTTATTAGGCGGTTTGGGGGAGATGTAAATATGTTAGGCGGAGGAAGGTAGAGCACAGTAATGGCCAGAAGTAAAAATAGGGCGTAGAGGTGAGCTAGGAGGAAGATAGACCCACTAAAGCGTGTCGCGGGAAGGTAGAGCGCAATAAAGGGGATGAAGGTAGAGCGGTGTAAAGGAAGAAGGCTAGCGAGTAAATGGCTGGACTATAGCTCCGCGTTTTCTAAAACCTGAAAACATCCAAATGTCGGTTTTCTATTTCTGAAGGAAAGGCCGAGACATGTCTCATTTTTCTTCTTCCTGAAAACGGTATGGTAAACGGGTTTTCTAATTTTTCTATCTCCAGTTTTCCAAATTTTTAAGAAAACAGAAAATATTTCTATTACTCCCTCCGTCCCAAAATGGTTGGCCAATGTTGACTTGCACGTGGATTAATAAAGTAAAAACTGTGTGGTTGAAATTTGTGCAGAAGAAAGAGAATTAACTTTAGCCACATATTTATTATTTTAAATGGAAATGACCAACCTTTTTGGGACGGCCAAAAAAGGAAATTTGGTCAACCATTTTGGGACGGAGGGAGTAGTAAACAGGCCCTAAGTTTTTGTTTACTTTTTCATATTCTATTTCCTATTTCCTATCTTTTCACTCATCATGTTTTCCATTTTCCCCATTTTTCTCCTCTTTCATACAATTTCTCCCATTTTCATACTTTCCCTACTCTAATTATTGCATTGGGTGTGTTTGGGTATTGATGTTTAACCCAAAATGCCATTTTTATACGTGAAATGTTGCTTACCGCAGCAGTTGGGGTAGAAACAGCTTAAAACCAAATGACCCCATTATCTCGTACCGGTTTTCTCAGTCTCCATGAAATACATAGTGTCAAGTAAAAACATGATTATATACTTAGAAGGATATAATCAAACATACTACATCCGTTTTTAAATAAATGCAACATGTGAAATTGAAATAAAATATTACGCACACACAATTATGAAATAATAAGAAAAGTAAGGTTGAAGCTACTTTTCTGGCAATATTAGGTAAAGTTACAGTAGAGAACCATTTAAGCTATTTTTTCATATAATTTTTGTTTAGTTTATTAATAAAATATATTGGAAAAAAGTTCAAATAAGCCCTTGTACCATTTCCAAACCGTCACTTTAGCCACTGTACTAAAAAAATATCATATAAGTACGCCTACTTTACAAAATGCATCAATTTGACCATTTAATAAGCTTTTGACCTGTAATAGCAAATTTTTAATACTTAAAAATTCTAAAAAATGTTAAAATTTGAAGAAACATATACAAATATTGTGAAAATTTTCAGAATATCAAACTCAATATTTTTTAATTTTTAAAAATATTTGTATATTCGACATCTATTTAAAAGGTTTTTCACGTTTTTCTTTTTTTCTTTTTTTATTTTCACATTGTTTTAGCAGTTTTAGAATTTTTTTACTTTAATGTTTTTAAAATTTTATCTATTTTTATATTTATATTATTTTATATTATTATTAGTTTATTTATTCAAATTTATATGAAGTTTTAAAGATTTATCAATATTCCAATTTAAATTTTAAAAAAATAACCTGCAATAGTAGGTCAAAGGGCTTGGTTGATTGTATTTTAAAAGTAGATGCACTTATATAATACTTTTTTAGTACATGGGCTTAAGTGACGGATTAGATAAAGTAGAAGGGCTTATTTGACCATTTTTTCAAATATATTTTAAATATAACTTTTTCATAAATCAGCAGAATCAGACATTCCAGCCACTTCAGTCAAAAGTTCATAAATTTCTGCAGAATAGGCCGATTCAACTGATTTCAGTATTACCAAACGGGCTCTCTACCTCTTATACAAATTCACAAGACATGAAGCATTTGATGTTTGATGTAATGAATTTGTGTACCTACAGGAACATTGAATTGATACACACTTTTTCCTTGTCCAAAATAAATAAACGCTATGAAGGTACATTGTATATTAAAATTTTCATTACCGGAAATGTTTATTAAAACTATTAACATAAATATCAATTTAGGTTTAGAAAACTATTAAATCACTAATTGCATTCCTCATTCGCTGTTAATAATATACTATTTATATAAAACATGTTTAGTTACAAAAATTATCAAAATAAAAAATTAAGTTGCCGTTGACAACTTAGATGACAATTTATATACAACTTAATGATCAAATTAGATGAGCCAAGTTACCATTTTAAAGATTCAAAATTATACCAAGTGCATTGAATTCATTAATTGAATTAATGCTTGTTTATTAACTAACTATATAAGAATCATTTTAAATTGTTACTCATTAAACATATGAATAAGATACTATATAGGTAGTAATGTATAAGACACATACCATTATAAATATGCATAAGACACTAGAGACCAAGAGTATTCAGATACAACTAACACTTTATCATTTTTATTGTAGTACACTTTACATATTATCAATGGCTAAAGGTTCAACCATTAATCTTGCTTGCTTTCTTTTATTCGTTCTCATAGCAACAGGTAATAACTATTTGTTATGATATTTTGTTTCATTAGGGTTTATTGTTTTTTTTGGAAGAAGGGTTTATTGGTTGATTTATATTTAGCTAGTATTTCTATTTTTGATGATCCGAATAAAATAAGTGCAAATTAACTATTAGCTAGATTGATATTCTTTCAAAAAGCTAGATTGATATTGGTGTAGAGAGTTGACCAATCATTGACTTTTTAAGCTATGCTTGGTTAAAAGGCTTGGCTGGATCAAACTTTTTCAAGTGCCAAATTGTTGGATGCATCATAACCTTATGAGCTTAGACAATCTTTAATTTGTTGGAGTATGTGTTTTTTGTAACTTATTTACTGTTACAACTTAACAAAAAACTAACGAGTGTTACGTTGTTTCAGAATTTTCTTGTAGGAGTTGTGCCAGGGAAGAAATAAAAAGGAGTGCCACAATAGCACCAACAGGTTTTCAAATCAACGGCAATGGTGATTACCCTTGCAATGATGTTAGCGATTGTGATGATTATTGCGGTTCTGATGGTTGTGCTATGTGTGTAAATGGCGAATGCAAATGTAATTGTCCTAATTGAGTAAATTAGGAATCAAGCTAAGAATAATAATAATAGTAGTAGTAGTAATAATAATAATAATAATATATTGAGGGTTTCATTTTAGACCAAATCAATAAAATTGATGGCGGGGTTAGGACCAACAATTCCAAATCAAGCTTTATCTTTTCTACATTCACCCTTTTTAGCATAATGCATAAGTATTTAATAATTTGACATTGGATCCTTTTCATTTTGATATGTTTCTGTGTACACGCCTATTTATATTAAATGATGTCGATCAAGAATTTTATACATTAATTAATTTATATATGTGTTTCTATCTTCCTTAAATTAAAGGTGTGTGTGTGTGAATAAACAAATGTGATCAAATACGTTACTTCCAAATAATATCATAAATAATTAAACATAACCATAATAATAAAGAAAATCATTTAGTTATAAATTGTATGATAATATAGCTTGAATATTATTATATCATAATGAATAAATCTTTGTAAGTTTAAATTTGAGACTCCACAATAGGCTTAATTTTGGATCATTATGATTGGGAATTATTCTAAGCTATAATATATTACAAATGTTTAAAATCAGGTTTATTAAAGTGATGTGCTAAATTTCAATCTAAATGAACCTCAAACACAACCTCTAAACGAAAAATATATCTTGAATGGACTTTTCAATTATTGTAAACTTTAGCATATTACATCAATATTTTTTAAACCCTTAATTGGAATGGGATTGTGAAACATAAAAATGCACTTTTCTTGTGCCAACACATTCCAAAAAAATATTTTTAATTTATTGTTCAAATTGCTTGTTTGTGATAATTGATGAGAAGGAACGTTGACATCAAAGAGATGAATGTTCAATCGTTGATTTTCAAAACCCGCTAAGACATAAATGTGTGTTAATTAAAATGGAAGGTAAATTGATGTGAACATGTAGTGCATTTAGTAAGAGAGTTTTCATATTGCAAAAATGGTAATTTTGGTTAGGATGGATTTATTAACTAGTTAATACTAACGAAAATTCAATGTGAAATGAGTTGTGATAGTATTTAGTAATGAATATTAACTATGTAATAACTAAAATAAATGGAACTAACAAATCCAAAAACAATAGTCATGTAACAAATTAAAAGTGGTCAAAGTCGAAAACGTGGAACAACTGTGTAAATGATGCAATACTCGATAGGATCAAAAGTGGAATTTATTATTTATTCTTTTTTCATCGAATAACTCAACAGTTCTATCAACTTCATTTGAGACATAACATAACTAACTAATAAGTAATTTTAAACTTTATTTTGAAAGGACCATTGATTAGAGACTTATATTATAAATATTGATAGGTAGCTTCACTTTATTTCGAATCCACTAGTGTGTAAAAAATCACTTCCTTTGTTCTAAAGTAGTTTGCGATTTTTTTGTCCGCGCAATTTGATTATCAAATTTTTATTGTATTTCAATTCGGTTCAACTTAATAGAACTTTTAATAGGGTTTCTTAATTATTGAAATTCAATTAATTATATGTACTCCGGTATTATTTAACTTTATCGTCGGTCAATCTCTAAAACTCCAAATTGCAAATTAATTTGAGAAGGTTGAAGTATAGAAAAAGTTAAGTAAAGAGTTACAAGTAGAGCTGCCTATGATAAAAGTAACAGACATTATATATAAAGTGGAACTATTATAAAAGAGAAATCTCGCATGAACTGAATTGGAGATACAAACTACATACTTTATTCAATAACCCATCAGGTATATTTATATTACATCGCGTATGATAGCTAGGAAAGGAGAGAGCACTATGCATGGGCCATGTATAGATATGAAAATCACGTACGTAGCTATGTGTGGTGGTGTGCAAACACTACATGTGAAATAATGATAAAATATTTCATGTCATAATATTCAATACTCCCCCTCAAGGTGGAGTGTGAAGATTACGTACACCCAACTTGCTGCGGAGAAATTGAAAACGGTCTGTGCCAAGTGCTTTGGTAAATATGTCAGCCACTTGATTGGCTGTGGAGATGAAAACTGGTTGGATCTCTTTACTAGCAACCCTTTCTCTTACAAAATAGCAGTCTATTTCCACATGCTTTGTACGTTCATGAAAAACTGGGTTAAGTGCTATATGACGTGCCGCTTGATTGTCACAATATAGAGGTGTGGGACCTGTTTGATCAACTGTAAGATCATGAAGTAACCACCGTAACCATAATATTTCACTAACGGTAACTGCCATGGCACGATATTCTGCTTCAGCAGAAGAGCGAGAAACAACAGCTTGTTTCTTTGTTCTCCAAGAGATAGGTGAATTTCCAATAGAGATAAAATATCCAGTACTAGAGCGTCGAGAGAAGGAACATCCAGCCCAGTCTGCATCACAATAGCCCTTTAAGTTGAAATCGTTATCAGATGATAAAAATATTCCTTGACCGGGCGTTTGTTTTAAATAGCGTAATATACGAATGGCAGCATCTAGATGACTCTGTCGCGGATGGCTTAGAAATTGACTGAGTTGACTGACAGAATAAACAATATCCGGACGAGTTACTGTAAGGTACAATAGACGCCCAATCAGTCTGCGATAGGAAGACGCGTCTACTGGCCGACTACCATCGTCTGGGCACAGTTTTAAGTTTTGTTCCATGGGGAACGGACTGGGACGACCCGCTAGGAGCCCACTTTCTTCCAAGATATCAAGAGTATACTTTCGTTGGCTTAAGACAAAACCCTCCGGTGAACGAGCAACTTCAATTCCAAGAAAGTATTTCAATTTTCCCAAGTCTTTGATGCTAAACTTATTGTTTAAGTAATTTTTGACGGAGGAAATATGAGAGATGTCATTTCCGACCAAGAGGACGTCATCAACATATATAAGGGCAAAGGTTATGACAGTACCCTCTCGGAAAATGAATAAGGAATAATCCGCTCGAGACTGGCGAAAACCTATCTCAATGAGGGCTTGAGTAAATTTGTGATACCAATTGCGAGAAGCCTGACGTAGCCCATATAGAGATTTTTGTAACTTGCAAACACGAGTATCACCTTGTCTTTCGAATCCTTGAGGAATACGCATATAAACGTCCTCAGAAAGATCACCATGAAGAAAAGCATTATTGACATCTAGTTGGTGTACAACCCAACTGCGCTTAGCTGCAACGGCTAGTATGCATCGCACCGTGACGAGTTTGGCAACCGGTGCAAATGTCTCGTGAAAATCAATACCCTCAACCTGCGTAAATCCCTTAGCAACCAATCTAGCTTTATAACGTTCCACGTCTCCATTTGGTTTATATTTAATTTTATAAATCCATTTCGAATCAACAATTCTTTTTCCGGCCGGTGGTGGGACTAGAACCCAAGTGTTATTTTCTTCCAATGCGCTGATCTCCTTTTGCATTGCATCTCTCCATAAAGGGTCTCGTACAGCCTGTGAAAAATATTTAGGCTCATCACGTGAAGTGATGGCCGCTAAATATGCTTTATGAGTACAAGAAAATTTTTCATAACTAATGAATTTTGAAATAGGATATACCGTCGAGTCTACTAAATTGGCGGTGGTCCGTGAATGATCCAGTGAAGGTGGCAAGTCAGTCTCATAATCATCCAGATGCTTTGGATTTTTACGATGTCTATCACTCCTTCTTTGATGAAAATACGGAGCACTACTGTTGGGAGCCAGAGTTGATGGAACATGGGGGTCCATTGTTGATGTCCTTTGTGTACAAGTAGGTTGAATGGTAACGTCAGATTGAATCTCATCCATCCTTACATGAGTGGGGCTGGTACTCATCACATCATGTGGAGTAAATTGGCTGATTTGAGTGTCTAAATACAAACCCAGCTGTCCAGGAGTGTTTTCGGTGATTGGGATTGCCCCTATTTCTTTTGTGGGTGAAATTGGGTGCTGCTGCATGGGGCTGCTGTCATTTTGTGCAAGTGGGGTCCTTTCTAGCACATCATGTGTTGGATGAGAGGCAGTAGATGGAACGGAGTCGGTGGTGAGGTGTTTGTCCGAAGTAGCTAGGCGATATGTCGGTGGGGTATATCTTCCATTATTTTGAACAAATGGAGGCTGGCCATTCCCAATAATTGGACGGGTAGCGGGCATTGTAATAGGACTAGGGTGACTTTCAGTAGGATCATTATAGCTCAAGATGTGATAATAAACTTTATCTATAATGGCCGAAAAATCAAGATCCTTATCCTGAATTATTTTGAAAGGGAATTTTTCTTCATAAAACGTAACATCCCGAGAGCTATAAACACTACGTGCTTTTAAATCAAAGACTCGATAAGCCTTTTGACCATTTGGATACCCAAGAAATACACATGGACTCCTCCTTTCACTGAATTTATCTTTCCATTTATTGTCATGTGCATATACCAAACATCCAAATACCCGCATATGATCATAACAAGGCCCTTTTCCAAACAACATTTCATAAGGGCTTTTGTTAGAAATAATAGGTGAGGGAAGCCTATTAATAATGTACACAGCGGTCAAAATGCATTCTCCCCAAAAATTAATAGGCAACCCAGACTGAAAACGTAATGCCCTTGCGACTTCCAATATATGTCTATGCTTACGTTCCACAACTCCATTTTGTTGTGGAGTGTATGTGCATGACGTCTCAAGTAATATTCCACTGCGTCCATAATAGTCAAATAAAATGTTGGTTTGAAATTCCACACCATTATCGGCTCTAATTCGTTTGACCTTTTGCTCAAATTGAGTATCAATCATGTTGCAAAATTGAATTAAGAGTTGAGAAACTTCGGATTTATTTTTCATTAAATAAACCCACACACCTCTAGTAAAATCATCAACAATAGACAAGAAGTACCGTGCACCTGATGTTGAGTCGCATCTGTAACCTCCCCAAATGTCACAGTGTATTAGTTCAAAGCAGCGAGTCGTCTTAATGGTACTTGTGGGAAAAGATAATCGAGTCTGCTTAGCTCGAACGCAAGGATCACAAAATTTCTCACTTCGTTGGAAACCCTTGAGAGAACTAATGTGATGTAACTTTCCATCGGATGCGTGTCCCAAACGCTGATGCCATAAATCAGATGTAGTAGAGACTGACATTGCCACCCCTTTATTTTCAGGGGAATCAAGGTAGTAAAGACCATCACGAAACTGACCCACCCCAATTAGTTTCCTCGAAGGTAAATCCTGCAAAATACAAAAGTCTGAAAAAAATGTGAGTGTGCAGTTTAAATCCCTTGCAAGGCGACTAGCGGAGAGTAAATTGCACTGGAATTTTGGGATATATAAAACACGTTGAAGATATAACCCATTGGGTAAATACATGCTACCAATAGCATGAACCAGTACTGCTTCACCATTAGGAATCTTGACCGACGGTACGGAGATATGATTCACGGTGTTGATGAGGTTAATATCAGTACAAGTGATATGTTCAATAGCTCCGGAGTCAATTATCCAAGAGCGGAAATGTGGCGATAAATCTGCCATAGCTTAACCAAAGGGAAAAACAATCAGAGAGAGAAAAGTAAAATATAAGAACTTTGTTTCCAGGATTTTGGCTCTGATACCATGATAAAAGTAACAGACATTATATATAAAGTGGAACTATTATAAAAGAGAAATCTCGCATGAACTGAATTGGAGATACAAACTACATACTTTATTCAATAACCCATCAGGTATATTTATATTACATCGCGTATGATAGCTAGGAAAGGAGAGAGCACTATGCATGGGCCATGTATAGATATGAAAATCACGTACGTAGCTATGTGTGGTGGTGTGCAAACACTACATGTGAAATAATGATAAAATATTTCATGTCATAATATTCAATAGCCTATAGGAAGTTTTCAATTTTAGTCTTAAAAGTACTAGGAGTATATCATTCTCACAATCACACCAAGTTGAGTTTTTTCCACTTTTGGTCCCCCGACTTTAGCGGTTTAGACAATTTTAGTTCCCGTCTTTTGTTTTTTCCAGATTTGGTGCACAACTATAGAATATTTGCCACTTTTGATCCTCCCGTTGATTTTTCCGGCCAACAACATACATTTCCATGTCATACGTTTCCGGCCAACACATTTCTTTGCTTCTACTCACACCCATCCCTGTTATCAGGATCATGATATATCATTCTATTGGGCAGGGGATAGGTAGACGGATAGATAGGGCAGCAGCAGGAGGAATTGCAATTGCAATTACAGGAGGTTGGGCGTAATACACACGTATTCATATATCTATCTGTTCTTGGTATGATGTGGTTTAGTTGTGCGTTGTTGTTGGCTGGAAATGTGTGTTAGTTGTTGGCCGGAAATATCAGTGACACGCACATGTGTGTTGTTGATGACCGGAAAAATCAACCTGAGGATCAAAAGTGGCAAATATTCAATAGTTGGGCACCAAATCTGGGAAAGACAAAAGACGAGGACTAATATTGTCCCTGTCACTAAAGTCGGGGATCAAAAGTGGCAAATATTCCACCAAGTTTTATGGCTTCAACTTTGCACACACTTTGGACATTTCTTTTTTCTATTTTCACCTATAGTCCTTGTTAAAGGTTTCAATTTGAGCCCTAAAAGTATTATATCAATCTCACATTAAGTTTAATGGCTTCAACTTTGCGCACATTTGAACTTCTCGTTTTTTTTCATTTTTTGTATGTATGTAGTACTTCATTAAGATTTATGGCTTCAACTTGGCTTCAACAAGGACTACAACAACAATACATTTAGGACTAAAAATGCATAGTAAATCAATGTTTATAAAACCCTTTAGTGGAATGGGGTTATGAGGGTGATTTACCAAAAGACGGGGAAAGGGGGATTGGGTTGCCAAAAGACGGGGATTTACCTAGGGTTTACCAAAAAACGGGAGTCGGAACTCCCAATTCCGACCAGAAGTTAGGATTTCAAAAAATAATTCCCTCCCCCTAGTCGGATTACCCAATTCCGACTAGGGATTTTTTTTTTTTTTTTTAAATTTTGTTTTTTTACGTCGAAGTAGATAGAGTTCCCAAATTAAAAAATAATTCCCTCCCCTAGTCGGATTACCCAATTCCGACTAGGGAAAAAATATTTTTTTTTTAAAATTTTGTTTTTTATGTCAAAGTAGATAGAGTCCCCAAAATAATTCCCTCCCCCTAGTCGGATTACCCAATTCCGACTAGAGAAAAAATAATTTTTTTTTTCAAATTTTGTTTTTTATTTCGAATTAGTTAGAGGTTGGCAAAAAATATTTTTCTTTTCCAATTTTATTTTTGATTTTGAGTTCGAAAAAAAATAAAAGTGTTAGGGTTAAATTATATCAATTCCTAATTTTAGGGACATATTTTTTAAAATGAAGACTTAGCATTAGCATTATGATTTTTTTAGTAAGAAAACAATTGATTGCTTTGAATTGTTTTTTAATCCATTAGTATTGTGAATTTTGTTTTAATTGCAATTTTTGTAATTTTAAGTGCAATTTTGATTTACTCCATTCGTCTAATCAGATAAAAATTTCATTTTGTTTTAAGTGAAATGTTTTTGTAATTTTAATGGATGTGAACAAAACAAATGTAGTTTTCAATATAATTTATTAATGAATAGACGGTACATACAACATTAAATTTAATACTACATCTTATAAGAAAACAAAATATAGCTTAATTTATAAAATTTCATAAAAATCTTAAAAAAACAAAAATTCTAAAACATATTCCTTGGTCGGATTTCTCATTTCCGACAAGGATAAAAAGTAAATATTTAAAAAATTCGAACACCCCTAGTCGGATTACACAATTCCGACTAGGTAATTTATTTTATTATTATTACTGTTTTTTAATTCCTTCGGGTTAGACAAATAAAATAATGGAAACATTAAAAAATTTCGAACACTCCCCTGGTCGGATTACACAATTCCGACTAGGTGTTTTTTTATTTTGTAATTTCCAATTTAAATGAAATCATTTAAAAACCCGTGGTCGGAAGTGCCTAATCCGACTGGAGGAGGGGTGTTTTTTTTTAAAAAATCCAGATTTTCAAAACCTAAATTCCTGTCGGAATTGGAGATTCCGACTAACGTCTTGTTTTTGGGAATGTCAGAACGAAAAGTTTCGTTATTTGGTAATTACTTCGGGTTATGATACATAAAAATACACTTTTCTAATTTCTACTGTCAACACATTCCCAATTTCTTTTTTAATTTGTCGATCAAATTGCTTGCTTGTGATAACTAATGAGAAGGAATGTTGACATCAAAGAGATGAATGTCTAGGCGTCGATTATCAAAAACCTGCTAAAACAAAAATGTGTATCAAAATGGAAGGTAAATTGATTGAACATGTAGAGCATTGAATATGAGAGTTTTCATATATATTGCGGAAATGATGATTTTGGTTAGGAGTTAATTATCAACTAGTTAATAACTTTACTTTTCCTGGTGTCAAGCCAATACCCGAAGGTGTTAGGGTAAGGGCCAAGGAACACCTCACCGGTTTATTAAAGAAATATGCAGTACAGAGAGCTAGAGGACTAAACCAAAGACTACTTGGGGAAATAAATGAAAACATGTTGAAGTTAAAAATAAAAGATTACAGAGCTTACTAGTTTACTGTGTAATTAAAATTATTGGAGAGACCGGCCTGGATAGACAGGTCTCTGTTGTATTTGTGATGGAATTTAATCGCCCTTTGAATGTATGCAGGGTAAATGTTTTACTCAAGATGAGCTCTATGGTACCAAGTCACTTCGCAGTTCATGTCGCATTTTAGTTAGTTTTGCATGTACCAATTTCTTAGTCGCATATTTATATTCTTAAATAACTTAATACTAATGTTTAATTACGGGTAGTGCAATGAAGTGCGGATTATATTCAATTGAAAGAAGGTAGATTCTATGGTACCCCAAATGTACCATACCTTTGTCCAAATGGACCAATAAGAATGATGCAGTTGAATTATTTAAATCTAAATTAAAAGGCATAGAATGATTTGGACCAATCAAATGCATGGTAGGTATGGTACCCCATTTTTTAAATGAGTACCGGAGTTGTCACCAAGAAAGAAAAATAAAATGTAAAACTAACTAAAGTGAGACGTGAAATGAGGATGAATTAATGTGGTAGTTGAAGTGTATAATATTTTCGTCTTATAATCATAATGACCTAAAAGTGTGATGAAAAAGGGGAGAAATATGGATTGAGTAAGTCAATGCTCTTCAAGAATATACTCCTCTTCTGTGACTGTTGTTGAGTGCAAGATTAAATGTAATCAGTCAAAAGAATAAACATAACACCGCTACCCTAACCCATATAAAATCTAAGCCTTACATTTGGATGTACGTGCACTAACGTAACTTGTGAAATTGTCATTAAATTAAACATACTTATAAGTTATCAGATCAAATCAGCAAGTGAGTAAGTTACGAAATTAAAACTACAAATGGTTCCATTTTTATATGCAGCGATGCATATGACTTTAAGGGTAATAGAAGCACTAGTCCCAGACCTTATATGGCCATTTTTTTTATCAATCGTGTATGGGGTAAGTACCCCAACATGTCCCCTACGTCCAAATTGGGCGGGACAACTTGATCATGGGTATAAATTAGCAAAACTGACCCTCTTCTTGAAGAATTGCTAATAGTTTGAGGGCTTATTTCCCTCCTTACTCTTCTATTTGAATTTCGTAAAAGAATATGTTGAGTGTATTGTATTGACGGTATTTGAATACAGAGAAAAATGATATTGAGGGATTTATACACTATTTTTATATCTACGGAGCCAGTTATTAGATAATCTAACGAGAGTGAGGATTTGGGGGCAGATATTGAATCGTTTATATTGTTGGGCCATAGATATATACTTCGTATTTTATATGCATCATACCTAGTATTATTTTATAGCTTGTCAATATATTTACACATTTCAATGTATATGCTATCAATTTTTGGGGGCCCGACCTCCTTCAATCCCTCCCCATCTCATCAATGACCAGATGAATCATGAAAGGCAACTCAAAATATGCAAGACTCAAAACATCAATGGTTTAATTTGAAGATATATACAGAGTTGTGTGATAGTTATTTTACATGAATTATTTCAAATCCTCATGCATCTCTCCTCGATCGATCTGTCGAACAAGAAGATCATTATGGATTCTTTTATATATAACAAGAGCATATTCTAGATGCTCGAACACACATTTGATACATCAAACAGAAACAAAGCCAACAACAACACTATGCCCATGGGAAACCAACTATATATTACAAGGCATGCATGCATGTTGGTCACCACACTCACCACTCATTTTTTGTTGCACCTTATATAGCTACTTGGAGCATATCTCGAGCTAGCCGCGGGGCGCTCAGGCGTCGATGTTTCCCGAGACAGAGCAGGTCTCGAAGGAGTTGCGGCGGGCGGTGGCGAGAACCGTCTTGTCGGCTACGATGAAGTAAGCCATGCCTGCGGCTGTTGAGATGATGAGTGCCTGGGCAGTGGGGTTCAGGTGGGCTCTTGCCCAGGGCAGCATTCTCACACTGGCCATTGTTGGAATAGCTGTTGCAATTGTTGCCACCACTGCTGCTTTTGTCCCAGCAACTACCCCTTCTGCACATCCACTCTTTATTAACTAATTATATATAGTCCATGTTCTTATTATGTATGTCTAAAAACAGTCTTTAAATTATTCATTCATTCCATTTTATTTAGTTTGTTTTAAAATATTTGTTGAGGATAGTATTTGTCCATAATCATGTACCTTTTTCAAATTCTATATTTATTAACCACACTTCCAGTTTTTCTTTGTGTCGTGTCCATTTTTCTAAATTTAGTTTTTTTTAAAAGGATTTTTCTAAATTTAGTTGGTTGAGGAGTATTTAAATTTTACTATCTTTGTCCCACTTTATGTATTCCACTCTAACTTGGCGCACTTATTCATAAAGCGATTAAAAAAAATGAAAGTTGCGGTTAAATTTTGAGTATAACAAATAAAGTGAAATGTCGTAGACCACATATTTCCTTCCAAAAGGTAAATGTGACACTTATTTTGAGACGATCCAAAAAGGAAAGTAAGACATGTAAAATGGAACGAAATGAGAACAGTTACAAATGTATCATCATGTCTCTAAATGTGTTGTTTTAAAGAATATTTGTTAAAAACATAGGTATGTAAATGAGTAATTGACCATTCAAACATTACTAAATAAAAGTGAAAACTTGATTGTGGGATACTGGGAGATCGGGAAAAGCAAAATGAAAACTTAATTGTGGGGCGGAGGAATATGACTAAAAATTAAACTTTTGATTGTATGTTGCATTTACCTAGTAAAATAAACATGAACACTTTGTATGAAAGAAATAGTGAATTTACTCCTATGAAAAAGTACATCATTAGTTACTAGACTAGATAGCTAGAGCACATAAGAAATCAAATGTGCTTTACTAACTTAATAGAGAGAAAAAGAGCTACAAGTCAAATTATTTATAGAAGAAATAAAAATGGTGGATGAAATTAAAGCTGGTAAACATACCATGAGAGCAACGCTTAGCCATGGCCAACTTGTCTAGAGAAGCCATTATTATGATGCTATGAAGTTTCCAGAAAAGGTAATAATCTAAATGGAGAGAATTGAAAGTGAAGGTTTGGATAAATATTTGGTGAGGCTAAAGACCCATATATATATATACTCCGTACTTCGTATAAATGATAAATGGCTTATCGAACATTTGATGGTTTTGTAGGATTACCATTGTCGGGACCCTTATTTTCTGCCGTGGGGTAGGCCGGCTGTTTTGGTCAGTTACCTTTTTTTTTCAGGATAGCCTTTTTTTCTTCATCTTTTCTAGGTGCATCGGGAGCAAAACGTGAAACTCCATTTATTTAATGATTGCAACAGTAAAGATAGCCAGTGGTTTGGGCCTTTGGGAAGTGAAGGACAAAACTGATATATGAAAACCACGGGTGTTCTCAGTGCGGATCCGATTAAATTTAATTGGGGGCAGAAATGAAGAATGACTATAAAATGCATAAGAAAAATATAATACTACGTACATCCATCCCATTTCATATATTTTGTTTTGGTTTGACATAATTATTAATAAATTGATTGAAAAAATAAAAGTTGTGATTGAGATTTGAGTATAATAAAGTGAAATGACGTAAGACACATACAAAGTTTTTTGTGTTTGTGACACTTATTTTAAGATAACCCAAAAACGAAAGTAAGACACGTAAAATGAGACAAAGACAATAATAAAGTATTAATGTGATATTATAATAACAAAATTTGTAACAAGCATTAATGTGATCATACATCATTGTCGTTCTCGCCGACTTTTCATCTTTTGAAAGAGATCCATCATAGTTTAATTTGTAATAGTTTCAAATACATCTCTTTCAGTGCCGGCCATAGGGGTAGGCACAGGGGCGGAGGGAGGGGGTGCCCAGGCTGGGCCATGGCCCAGGGCAGTTTTTTTTTTTTTTTGTATTATATATGAAATTTTTAATTTTTTTTAGAAATGACCCAGTGCAAAAAAATAGTGGCCCAGTGTTTGGCCCAGTGCAAATATACCGTCCGTTCCAGAGCTAAAGAAACAAAGCTAACCAAAGCCAAAGAGCAGAGACAGACGTTTTCATTCGCATCTCCTATTCGCCGGACGGCGGACGCAAGACGCCGCATCTCCAGGCTCCAGCTCTCCTCCGCAGCTCCGCTCCGCCGCTCTCCCTGCCGCCCCTGCGCATAGCCTTTTCTACGCCGGTCGCCGCATCGCCTTTGACCGTGGAATACTCTCCAGTCTCCACGCCGCAGCCCGCATAGCCTTCCATTTCTTGACTGCTGAATTGCTTCGGCGCAGCTGTCAAGGTAAGGTTTCACAATTTTACAATTTTAATTTAATTTGACAATTTGATTTTACAATCGTGACCTACATTTTTTCAATTTTTAGTTCAATGTAATTTTATTTGTTATTTTAGATTGTGTTAGTCACTTAGTGTGCTTTGAATTGATTTGCGTGCTTGGAATTGTAAAATGATAAATTAGAATTTAGGAATGTCAAATGTGATTTTGTGAATTGTTAAAAATATTAATAGGAAGGAACTATGTGAATTCAAATAAAATATTGATTAGTTTTTTATTTTTTTGCTAATTTTAGTAAGTATGGATACTCAATCTACTTCCAAAAAGGCAAAAATCACATTACGTCCGTTTTATAAGCCTAGTACAAGCACTCAAAGTAGACAAGAGTTAAATGTCTCAATTGAAACTCTTAATATCTCATCCGCTCAAGAGGAAGTAGATTCTGATGCACTTTAAATTGAGCGGGATCCGGAAAAACGCAAAACGATAAGTGATTGACTGTTAGAGAAAAGAGATGACAATATGCAATTAGATGATCTTATTCGATGTTTGGACCTTATCAATCAAAATTGAATTTTTACAAAGGCCGAGTTTACAAAGATATGATGCGTCGTTTTCAAGCTACCTTGTTCAATGAATTTAATTGGTTGGAATACTCTCCAACAACACATAAGGCATATTGTTTTCCGTGCTTTGTCTTCAGTGATGTTGTGCATTCTTCTTGTGTTTCGGCTTTAGTGACTATTGGTTTTGATAGTTGGAAACGAGTTCATCAGGGTAAAGAATGTGTGTTTCTTGTGCATGTTGGTTCATCCCCTTCCTCACCTCATAATAAGAGTGTGACTTGTGACACCTTAATGAAACCAAGTCAACATATTGACAAAGTCATTGCTAGGATCAGTAAAGAAGAAGTGGTGAAAAATCGTTTGCGTGTAAGGACAACCATTAAACTCAGTTAACATTTTAGATTCAAACATGATATGTATTGTTTAAAAATATTACTATGAATTTGAATGAATTTTAATCATTATGTTCAGACTATTGTCGTTTTTAAAATTTTTATATGATGTTTTTAGTGTATAGTCGGCCCAGGGTAAACATCAATCCTGGCTACGCCCCTGGTAGGCACATAGGCCATTGCCTAGGACACCACTTCCAAGGAGGGCACCATTTTTAAAAAAAAAAGTAGAACTAGTATTACGTATTATACGATAGTATATATATACGGGTTAATATATACGGAGTAACCCACTGGCGGCATGCGGGAATGATGGTAGAAAATTGAAAAGTCTAACTGTCAAAGCACCCCACAAAACAATACTCCGTAGAAAATTAACTACTGATAGTAAGATAAAGAAATCTGACAAACATGGGAGTCTGGTCCACTGGCAGGATGGCCCAATACAAAATTAGGAAGAAATTAGCCTTAGGAATAATGTAGTCTATCTATCAAGACTATTAGAGTATTACTCTAAATTAGGAAGAAGTTAGCCTTAGAAATTAGCCTTGAAATTTCAGCATTAATAAATTAACTAATTCGTTATACTCCTTATTTGGAGGCCGTTTGGCAACACTGTTTTTCGCCTTATCAAGTTTATCAACCAACTTTTTCGCCAAACACGTATATTTTGCTTTCGAACGATTAATTGTGTAATAAGCAGAAAAAGTAAGGTTAGAGTTACTTTTATGGCTGTATTGGCTGAAGTTACTGTAGATGATCATTTTAGCTATTTTTACATATAATATTTTCTTTAATTTAGTAATAAAATATATTTTTAAACTATTTTTTTTAATCAGCAGAATCAGCCAATACAGCCACTTCAGCCAGAACTTCATAAATTTCTGCAGAATCAGCCAAAACAGCTGATTTTCGTGCTACCAAACGGGCTCTTCATTCTTTGAAACTTCTATTCCTTTAATTCTTCTGCAATCCATTATTCACAATTGAAAATTCCCATTCCTAGAAAAAAAAATTAGAAACTAAAATTTATAATTAAATGAGTTATTTACAACAAGTTTAGTAATTAATACGTAATATTCATTAATTGTATTAAACTTGAAAATTTGTGTTATTTTTTCCCCTAATTTTCTTGAAGTTATTTGGTTACGAAATTCAGTCTAAAACTTGTTCTTTTTAAATAGTATTTCCATATTGACTAATTAACATCTAAAAGAAGTAATTAGTGTTAAATTAGTGTACTATGACAGGGAAACATAAACAAGAGTTAGGAGTTTCAAAGATAAAACTTAAAAAAAAAGGATGAACTATAGCAATCTTTTGCGGGTTCAATGGATAGGTATGTAAAGACAAAACCCTTCTTCATCGACCTCAAACGTATTTAAACTCATTTGTCACTTTTTGTCTGGGGCATCAAAACTGCTAGAGACGGCTCTGATCTCTTTAAATTAAAAAAATTAGACAAGCATTCCAAACCTTGTCTCCAAACCCTTAATTTACAAATGCATCAATCCCAACACGGTTCTAAAAGTGATCCTACACAAGTAACAACTTGAAGAGAAGGCTATGTCAATCAATATATATATATAAGAGGAACTTTTTAAGAGCATACAATGTTTCACATAATCCTGCCATGCAATCATATATAACAATTATTTAATTACTTTTTATACAGTTTATTTTTTTATTAGATTCTATTTTTATTGTATATTGATAAGGAAACAATATAGGATGAGAGAACCCTGTTCCTATCAGGAGCTCCTAAAGAGAATCTCTGTGCGGACATGACCATCAGAGGGTCTTTCCGGTGGAACTTTTTGATTAAATTTTTTCAGCATGTACCTCATCAAGTCTAGTTTGTCCATACCAAATTTCAGCTCAAAATTCGATCGGGAAGATAGTGAAATAAATCCTGGAAACATACTGCACATTATATGTGCGCAGAATGCGCCATATTTTTTCAGGATTTATTATACTGCCTTCCGGCCTTCCCGATCGAATTTTGAGCTGAAATTTAGTATGTACAAACTAGACTTGACAAGGAACATGCTCAAAAAAATTCATCAAAAAATTCCACCGGGAAGACCCTCTGATGGGCTTGTCCGCATGAGGCTTCTCTTCAGGAGCTCCTGATGTGAACTGCCCTCTAGGATGAGAATCTAAGTAGTCACGATAATTGTATATATTAATGAAAACTGGTTGATATGGAAACAATATACATTTCGATCGAAACTATTCCAATTCTATATATTTTCGATTGATATTATATATACTATTCCAATTGCATATATTTTCGATTGATATAACAACTATTAGAATATATTTTTTATTTAACCAGATCAAATGAAAAATGGAGTATTATTATAATAATAATAATAATAATATCACAATAATAATTATTATTTTTATTATGAATAATAATATCTCAATAATTATTATTATTGTTACTATTTTTTATTCAACCAGATCAAATGAAAACGGGAGCATACGGTGTGCCACATAATCCTGCCATGTCATCATATATAACAATTATTTAATTACTTTTTATAAAACTTATTTTTCTATTACATTCTATTTTTATTGTATATTGATATGGAAATAAAAGACTGTAGGATAGAATCCACCTTATTTGGTAACTTTTTAAGAATCTATTACTTACTCTGTATTAATTTAGATAGTTATTAAAATAAGCAATTGGAACCACAAGAATAAACAATCATCCGTACACATAGACTAAGTTTTATATCAATTATTTAATTATTTTTTATACCTTTTATTACATTCTATTGAAAAATGAATCATCCCTGTTTTTCCCACCTAACAGATAAATCATCCAAATTCCT